ATTGTCAAAATCAGGTCAAACTAAATTGATATATTTTAACTGTTTTATTTTATATATGGTTTACAGTGTGTAAGAATGTTACCTGAATTTTGTACATGTTTTTACAAAATAGTTTCTTGCACTGAAATGCATCTTGTGTTTCTTGAACGGTCCTTAATAATTCAACCGTTTTAGTAGTTTGTAATGCAATTAAATTTCAATGTTGGTGTCAAATACTATGGCAGTATTTTAATAGTTCTAACTACAGAAACTAATGTTTTATAACTGGAAGACCTGCGTCCCTAATTTATGGTTAAATTAGTTTCAGGGATGTATAATTAAAGGGTTAGTTCACCCAAAAATGAAAATTCTGTCAGTATTTACTCACCCTCGTTGTTCCAACCCCGTAAGAGTTTGGTTCATCTTCGGAACACAAATTAAGATATTTGTGATTAAATCTAATCACTCCTCCATAGGCTTTTTAGGGATTGAAACTTGCCAAGCCCTCAAAAGTTATAAAAGACATCATTAAAATTGTCCAAATTGCTCAATCTTAAGTTTATCAAGTGATGAGAATACTTTTTGTGTTCAAAAAACTCCAAAATAACGACTTTATTTAACTGTTCATTTCCTTCTCTGTGGGCCTCTAGTCAGTTAACGTATTGTGATACCGTAGTGCTATGCCACACGTAGATGGACTATTGGCCGACGCCGGTCATGTGTGTGATGTGTGTGATGTACAACAAGGCCCACAGAGAAGGAAATTAATAGTTGAAATAAAGTCGTTATTTTTGTTGCTGTTTTTTTGCGCTCAAAAAGTATTCTCGTTGCTTGATAAACTGAAGATTGAGCCACAGTAGTCACTTGGACTTAAAGGGGTGGTTGACTGCTTTTTTTCGTTGCATGATTGTGTTTATGGGGTGCAATATAACATGTATTCGTGGTTTTTCGTTTTTAAAAAGTCTTATTTTTCATAAACTTCACGTTTATTGTCAGCCGCGCTCTCCTCTGTCCTCGAACGAGCGGTTGACTTCCTGAGTCTATGAAACTACTCCCTCAGAAACACGTTGTGGGCTCAGATTGGTTAGCTTGGCCTGGTGTGTTGTGATTGGCTAAACTGTCGCTTACATTGTTCGGAAAGGTACCGCCCATTACCTTTACGGGCACGTCATGAGCTCCTGTCCAGATGTAAATATGCGTCGAACTGCAGTATCAGTTTGAGGCAGAATCAGACTGAGAAAGCCGCGATGAAGCGAGTCAAACAGAACCTCACCACACACGGCTCTTAATAAACGTTTCTGAATGATAATTTGCTAAATTTTTTAACTTTATACACGTTTGTTTAACACAATAGCATCTGACTGGCAACAATAGCAACTGACTGGCTACTAATGTTAAACACAAACAGCGGTGGCAAGTACGTTCTTGATCAAATCGAAAATAACGTCATAAAACATATATACATGAAAAATACATTTATAACATTAGCACTTATACAAAATTCATGTTTGTACGCGTTTGTCGTAGACACAAAATAGCATAACTAATAGCCTAGTGGCAATAAAGCTAGCGCTGGCATTTGAAAAAAACTAAAACACAAGGCAATGTCTGGAATTATAAATGCAAATACATTTAAAATGGTTAAGTCTTAGCCTACTTACAGGTTGTGGCCCAACAACTGCTGCCTCTGGTTTTAAAGTTGGAACTGCTTCATGTTTCAGTAACAGACTCCGGTGTTGAATTCGTGGAGATTCTGGAAGCTGTCTTCCATAAATGCGCAGCACAGAGAGCTAGATTACGATCGTCATTTTCAGGAACATAATCAAACATAAATTCTATCCATTGTTGACGAAGTACAGCGTCCGTGGGAAGTTCGAAGACATAAGACCTGACAGCTGCGTGAACAACACGCTCGACGAGCTGCTGAAATATGGCCATGCCCTTTTCTGCTTATTCCGGAGGGAGGGGTTGATGCAAATGTGTGGGTTAGTGACGTACCATAACCCAGCTGTAGTCCCAATCCCAATGCTACCGCCCATTAATCGAGAAATCTCTGAGTTAGAATGAGAAGCGAAGAAAAATGTTTATTAAACATGATCATCCTAAGGCACCCCTCAGCCACACGTTTAATTACTTAATTACTGATTATTATATTGAATTGATCATTATTCTCGATCTTTTACGGGGTGGGGGGGTTGCTAGTGCTGTGTTGAAAAAATTAATTACGTAATAATGCACGATTAATCGCACGATATTGTTATGCGCATCTAATCAGTAAAGCCGGTTCATTGATTAGCAGTAAATCACCTACACCTGCTTTCAGATGGAATGTATGATGCAGATATGAGTGTTAAATTAACACTCAAGAGTGTTGAAGTTATTGAGATTAATTTAGTGATGATTGAGCATTATTGAAGTCACCTGATGATCACAAGCAGAATCACTGAAGGACAACAGACCTTCAAAGAGGACCAGAGAGCAGTTCCCCTGCTACCTTTCCAGTCCTGGATCTCTACCCTCCTTGCCCAAGAAGCACATAGTGAGGGACATGATGGGGTGGCAGGAACTTTGCTGCGGATGCAAAAGAAAGCATGGGTCATCAGGGGGAGAATTATAGCAAGAAAAGTTGTTGACAGGTGTATCTCGTGCAGGAAGGCAAAAGCCAAGGCGTGTCGGCAAATAATGGGAGATTTACCTGAAGAGAGGTCGAGCCCGGCGGCACCGTTTCAATTCACGTCTGTTGACATGTTTGGACCGTACGAAGTAAAGGATGATGTCAGAAAGAGAGTGAGCATGAAAGTATGGGGTGTGCTCTTTTGCTGCATGTCAAGCCGAGCCATCCATGTCGAACTGGCAAGCGCGCTAACAACAGAGAGCTTTCTACTTGCTTACCAGAGGTTTACTTCTATCCGAGGTCATCCTCAGAAGATCTGGTGCGATCCAGGTACACATTTTATTGGAGCAAAGCGTGTCCTGGAAGAGATGTATGCTTACCTAAGACAACAAAGCAAAGAGTCGCTGGAGGAATATGCTGCTAAGAATGGGACTTACTGGTCATGGAAAATCCTTCCAGCCAACTCACCTCATCGAAACGGCGCTGCTGAAGCTGCGGTCAAGATCACCAAAAGAGCTCTCCAAAGTCTCAGTAGAGGAGGAGGCCTTACTTTTGGCGAATTCCTGACGGTGCTCAAACTAGCTGCCAACCTTGCTAACGAAAGGCCTATCGATGCCAGAGTCCAGAGCTGTGAAGTATCCAATACATCACTCCGAACACCCTGTTGCTTGGTCGAGCTTCACAGAGAGGAGATTTCAAAGAATTCGACTGCTACTTACATCTTTAAAAGCCGCAAGAGATGCAAACCCAAGTTAGCTACTTTTGGAAGTCCTGGAGCCAGCTTGCAGGTCCAAACCTGTTCATCCGCAGCAAGTGGCATACTGCCGAAAGGATCAAATACATTAAGGGGGCAGTTCAAGCTAGCAAGAGTCATCAGTGTGAACGCAGATTCTAAAGGCATAGTCCGGGATGTCCACGTGAAAGTCTCTCCGAGCGGGTGTGTTCAGGCGAAGATTCCAGATCTCGGACTTGCCAAAGAGTCCGGGTCTAAAGAAAAGTATTTCCAGGGTACCATATTGCATCGGGACGTACGGTGCCTCATCGTCCTCCTTCTAGCAGAGGATCAATTTGTTGGGGACCAGTTCGCCTGAGTGGTGAGATCTTTCCGCTCGCACCGTGCAAAGATCGGGTGGGAGGTGTTGCGGCGATCTGCTGGGAGGTGTGTCTGCGTGTGAGTGCAGTGGCCTTGAATCAATCTCAAGCTAAAAATCAATCTTGGCTCTGGAATGCCTTATGAGGTTGGAAGAAAATGAGGCAAGTAATAGGCTCTATGCACGAACCCCGCTGTCGTACGTCCGTTAGGATCTCAGCCAGCTTCTTTACTTCCGCATAGCACGTTCTGCAGGCAAAGTGTTCAGCGGAAAAACTTCAATAAAATTAATTTACTCCGAAATGGAGACAATGATATTAGAAACTGATTTCGGAAGATATAAGAGAACTCACCCTCAAAGTTGTCGATGTAGCTCGAAATATATAATTTAACGCCCTTCTTTTTTACTCTTATGTGTGACAGCTAACTGCCTCACAGTGTTGTTAACATCATTCACGTTAACTGCAGGAAGTTTTTGTAAACAGCAAGTGTAAGTTGCCACTATCTCCACCTAATGCAAAACCGGTTTCTGACGCAGCACCGGATGTAACTGGGCAAGCTGGGACAAAACACGGAAGCGATCGCGCATAAAGCCCATTACTGACAGAATTTTAATTTTGGGGTGAACTATCCCTTTAAGATTGCCCCTGCCTTAAGGTTAACTGATATTTGCCATTCTTTGATCTTCTCTTTCTTTCTTTTCTTTTCATTAATCGATGTATTCTTTGTTGTCTTATGTAGTCGAATGTATCTCTTTTAATTACTTTGATTTAAAAAAAAAGTTTCTTTCATTTCAGAACTGATGGAAATGGAGGAGAGCGAAGAACTGAGTGACGTGAAGGAGGAGAGAAAAGAACTGAGTGAAGTGAAGGAGGAGAGAGAAGAACTGAGTGAAGTGAAGGAGGAGAGAGAAGAACTGAGAGAAGTGAAGGAGGAGAGAGAAGAACTGAGAGAAGTGAAGGAGGAGAGAGAAGAACTGAGAGAAGTGGAGGAGGAGAGAGAAGAACTGATGCAAGTGAAGGAGGAGAGAGAAGAACTGAGTGAAGTGAAGGAGGAGAGAGAAGAACTGAGAGAAGTGAAGGAGGAGAGAGAAGAACTGAGAGAAGTGAAGGAGGAGAGAGAAGAACTGATGGAAGTGAAGGAGGAGAGAAAAGAACTGAGTGAAGTGAAGGAGGAGAGAGAAGAACTGAGAGAAGTGGAGGAGGAACATCTTGTCAAACCTGGAGAAAAACCTTTGAGTCGCTCAAATACAAAAAAAACATTTTTAAAGAAAAGAAAAGACAATAAATCTTTCACCTGCACTCAGTGTGGAAAGAGTTTCACATTCAAACATGATCTTAATGTTCACATCAGAGTTCACACTGGAGAGAAGCCGTTCACATGTGATCAGTGCGAAAAAACCTTCCTTGGGTCATCAGACCTGAAGAGACTCGTGAGAGTTCATACGAAGGAGAAGCCACATTCATGTTCTGTGTGTGGAAAGAGGTTTTCCCAGCTGTGTAGTTTACAAGTACATCAAAAAATTCATACTGGTGTAGGAGTTCATATGTGCTTTGAGTGTGGGAAGACTTTTACTACAGGGAGAGAATTAAAACGACACCAGAGAATTCACACTGGAGAAAAACCTTACAATTGTTCACACTGTGACAAGAGATTCTGTCAGTCATCAAATCTGAAAACACATGAGCTAATCCACACTGGAGAAAAACCTTACAAGTGTTCACACTGTGACAAAAGATTCAATCTGTCATCAACTCTGAGAAAACACAAGACAATCCACACTGGAGAAAAACCTTACGAGTGTTCACACTGTGACAAGAGATTCCGTCTGTCCGCAATTCTGAAAACACATGAGAAGATCCACACTGGAGAAACACCTTACAAGTGTTCACACTGTGACAAGAGATTCTGGCAGTCATCAAATCTGAAAACACATGAGAGGATCCACTCTGCAGAAAAACCTTACAAGTGTTCACACTGCGACAAGAGATTCAATCAGTCATCATATCTGAAAAAACATGAGAGGATCCACACTGGAGAAAAACCTTACAAGTGTTCACACTGCGACAAGAGATTCAGTGCGTCATCATCTCTGAAAATACATGAGATGATCCACACTGGAGAAAAACCTTACAAGTGTTCACACTGTGACAAGAGATTCAATCAGTCATCAGGTCTAAAAAAACATGAGAGGATCCACACTGGAGAAAAACCTTACAAGTGTTCACACTGTGACAAGAGATTCAGTCGGCCATCAAATCTGAAAACTCATAAGAGGGTCCACACTGGAGAGAAACCCTACAAGTGTGATCAGTGTGGGAAGAGTTTCTCTTTTAACCATCACCTGAAGCTACACATGAAGATCCATGCAGTGGAGAAACCCCATCAACACAGTCTGAGATCATAGTAAGTAGTAGGGCTGCACAATATATAATTTCAGCATCGATAACAATGTCGATAATTAATTTCAGCATCGATTATGTGCGCATCCACGATAGTCATATCGCAAGATGTGCAATAGGTATCATAATTGATCCGTGATTCATGATCCGTACAGGTCAGCTGCTTTCTGGCCCAGAAAACATTAAAGATTAATTGCAAAGTTTAACCATCATATCGTGAAAGTTATTTAATTTGCATGTGTTTTTAAGTGTAGCTACGCAAAGTTCAGATCAGATTTTTGTCCCACCAAACTAAAGCCTTTTTGATCGTGAGTGGTGTAGAATAGAATGACTGCCCCGGCTGCACGTTCGCTCTCATTGTCTTTAAACAACACGAGCGATGTCTTGCTCTCTCTCACTCACGATCATACATATTAATCAACATCAATTGAAGCAATATTCAAAGGTCGAAAGACTGAAGGTTCATATGGAGCATTCTCTCCTGAATTACTGTGGGGGGTGAATTGCGCAAAAAAAAAAAAAAACGACAACTTTGCCTCATATATATCTAAAAAGCGTTCCGCACATTCAGCTGACCTAAACCACAATTTCAATTAAACGGAAAAAAACAAATCTTGCGCGATGTCCTAAACTGCCGAGATATACACACAATGCTCGCCGTAGGCTACACATCCACTAATGACACATCTGATTTGAACAATTCACTTTAATCTGGTGAAATATCGCAGAAAATTTAAATATCACAATGCCATTTTTGCAGCCCTAGTTAGTAGTTCATCTTTATCTACCGAGAAACAAAAGCTGCTTTTTCAGCTTTGGAAAAGGTTCCAGTTGTGCTTCCACATCACGGCACAATTGCAAACTGTTCTCGGCCCTGAACTCTCCGCACACTTGGCTAACCGTGAACCGTGATGGAAGAATGTGTGTGGTGACATCGCCATTCAGGATTGGTCACTTGTCTGTTGCCTGGTTACCAGTTTCTCTGTTGCTGGCTAAGTGACATAAAAGCATGTTGAGTGACTAAAAAACAAATTGATAATAAAATTAAAAGAAATAACATGGTTCCTGTGCTATTTTTTTTTTAAATTTTTTTTTGTCGTCAGTCTTTTTTTAGACAAATTGGTTGCGACATTGACACCTGATCGATTGCTACTGTCTACCTGGCTGTGTGTTTGTTTGCTTCGAGGCTGTAAACTCAGTCTAAGTATCATATTAGCTCTTTCTGATTTGAACCATCATTTACTATCATTTCTAGTTGTTTATACTAATAAATACAGCTTACCCAACATCTCAGATTAAACTTATTTCTCTAGCTTCTGTTATTGTTAGCACAACACGCTAGTAACTCGATAGCCTGTTAATGCGCCGTCCATGTGCTTGGTTATTTATTTTACCTTTTGTGTCTGTGCCTTTTGAGTTCATAAAAAGCCCAGGTGAGTAAGAATCAGTCAACAAATATGGTGAGTAATGTCTTGTTCTTTTATTGTCACCTGTGTCACATGTCATACGTTTAGTATATAGTCTTCTCAGATGGCCATATAGGATTTATATGTGATAAATGATTTCAAAGCTAGACACACATCCAAACTTTAATTGAGGATAGAAAGAATACTCAGACTGATCTCATGAAGTAGCGTGTGTATGCCACGCCAATTCGTATTTCCATTTTTGGCGTGCTATCAAGACGCATAATCGCCTTTCAGCGTGTTTATGAACGCCGTTGACTTAACGTTATATAAATATATGACTTACCTCAACCCCGTCCCTAAACCTAACCGTCACTGGGGTTAATGGCATTTATGACTGTTCCCTTACCATCCTAGGAAAGAAAAAGATATGACTTACCTCAACCCCATCCCTAAACTTAACCGTCACTGGGGTTAATGGCATTTATGACTGGAGATTTGACTGCGTGTACAGACACGCGGAATGACGCGGACGTTAATGGCGTAGAAATCAAAAGTACCAGTCAGTATCTGGTGTGGCCACCAGCTGCTTGAAGTACTGCAGTGCATCTGCTCCTCATGGATTGGACCAGATTTGTCGGTTCTTGCTGTGAGATGTTACCCCACTCTTCCACCAAGGCACTTGCAAGTTCCTGGACATTTCTGGGGAGAATGGCCCTACCATTCACCCCGCGATCCAACAGGTCCCAGACGTGCTCAATAGGATTGAGATCCGGGCTCTTCGCTGGCCATGGCAGAACACTGACATTGCCGTCATGCAGAAACTCACGCACAGAGCAGTATGGCTAGTGGCATTTTCCTGCTGGAGGATCATGTCCGGATGAGCAAGCATAAAGGGTACCACATGAGGGAGGAGGATGTCTTCCCAGTACCGCAAGGCATTGAGATTGCCTTCAATGACAACACGCTCAGGCCGATGGTGATGTGATATACCGCCCCAGACCATGACTGAACCCCACACACACACACACACACACACACCTCCAAATCGATCATCATCTCTGGTGAGACAAAACCGCGACTCATCAGTGAAGAGCACTTTTTGCCACTCCTGTCTGGTCCAGCGAAGGTGGGTTTGTGCCCATAGGCGGGGTTGTTGCTGGTGATGTCTGGTAAGGACCTGCCTTACTACAGGCCTACAAGCCCTCAGTCCAGCCTATTGTGGACTAGAGCTGGGTACCGAGTTCTGTACTTTTTAGGTACCGACCGAATTGCCTCGGTACTACCGAGTATCGAAACATGTCTTGTTTTTCGATACCAAATTTCGGTACCCAAGTGGTTAATCTCGCCAACGTCAGTGAAACAATAAGCACGCAGTATGATAGGCTGTGGCGTAAAACACTAGTTTACGCGGCTGCTCAGAGACGTAGCTCGTCGCACGTGAGTGTGTGTGTGTGCGTGCGTGTGTGAGCGGCCCAACCCAGATGGATAGAAAATATGTGGAAACGATCCAAAGTGTACCTGTGTGCCAGACTTGATACCAGAAGCACGCGATGCAATATTTTCGACAGGATAATTGCCGCCAACACCAGTAACACGGTAAGTCTGATGAGCACACAGACACTTGTTGAGAGTTCAAAGTCTGTCTTCCACTGCAAGAACTGGAGCACGTCACAGATGAGCCGACACTCAGCATATGGGATGCTTGCCTCATAGACATGAGAAATAGGCCTATAGATGGTCAAAATATGTCTACTTTTAAACAAAACAATTAGAAATGAATAGTTTTATTACCTGATCCATATACGTTAGGCGCACGCATTCACTGCTGCAGGAATGACGAGTCAGCATCGCCATAATCATATTTGCTGCCAGCAGACTTATTAAACACTTGTTCATTAATAAACGATTAAAAATATATCCTTGCTGTTGTTTCCCGACACATCCATAATCATTATGCTTCTGTTGTTAGTGCTTTGCGGCAAGCTTCACGTGTGCTGAGCGCGAGGCATATATCCCGCCCCCCAGAAGCCTATATTTAATTCACATTTATTTGTATAGCATTTTTCACAATACATATCGTTTCAAAGCAGCTTTACAGAAAATGCATGTTTATAAATTACAATTTAGAGTGATAATCTGTTATTATCAGAGGTGACAGTGTAATGCATTTCAATTAATTATCATTCAGTTTCCTGTTAAACAATGCATTAAGATAAGGCAGAAACAATAAGCTCATTGAAGTGAAAAAAAACATGTTGTTAAATGATTAGGAAACAGGAAACTTTAGCTTTAGGAATCATTTTAAACATGTAGGAATCATTTAAACTTTAGGAATCATTTAGGAATCATAAACTTTAGGAATCATTTAAAAACATGTTGTTAAATGATTAGGAAACAGGAAACTTTGAAACAGGAAACTTTAGCATTGGTGCTTTTTTACTCAAAATAGGAGTGTGAAAAAAATCAACAACTGAAAAATAAAATAAAAATGTAGGTAATATTATATTGATAAAACTGGTTACATAATATTAGTATCGAAAAAGGTATCGTTCAGTATCGAAGTATCGAAGTCAGGGTATCGGTATCGAACATTTTGTTACGATACCTAGCCCTATTGCGGACAGTCTGAGCACTGATGGATGGGTTGTGTGTTCCTGGTGTGACTCGGGCAGTTGTTGTGGCCATCCTGTACCTGTCATGTAGGTGTGATATTCGGATGTACCGATCCTGTGCAGGTGTTGTTACATGTGGTCTTCCACTGCGAGGATGATCAGCTGTCCTTCCTGTCTCCCTGTAAATGGACTGCATTTATATAGCGCCTTCATAGACCTAATGGCCACCAAAGCGCTTTACATTTGCCTCACATTCAGCTGGGGTTAGGTGCCTTGCTCATGGACACCTCGACACTTGGTCAGGTGGAACTGAGGATTGAACCACTAACCTTTCGGTTCGTAGACAACCCACATGAACCACTGAGCCACTGCCGCCCCAAGCGCTGGCTTAGGCGTCTCACAGTGCGGACATGGCAATTTATTGCCCTGGCCACATCAGCAGTCCTCATGCCTCCCAGTAGCATGCCTAATGCTCGTTCATGCAGATGAGTAGGAACCCTGGGCATCTTTCTTTGGGTGTTTTTCACAGTCGGTAGACAAGTCTCTTTAGTGTCCTGTGTTTTTAGAACTGTGACCTTAAATGCCTACTCCCTGTTAGCTGTTAAGGTCTTAATGACCATTCCACAGGTGCATGTTTATTACTTGATTATGGTTAATTAAAAATGAATGGAAAACATTGTTTAAACCAGGGGTGCCCAATCCTGCTCCTGGCGATCGACTGTCCTGCACAGTTCATCTCCAACCCTAATCAAACACCTGAATGTGATCCTAAAGACCTTAATTGGCTACTTCAGGTGTGTTTGATTAGGGTTTGAGATGAACTGTGCAGGACAGTCGATCACCAGGAGCAGGATTGGGCACCCCTGGTTTAAACCCTTTACAATAAAAATCTGTAAAGTTATTTGGATTTTTACAACATTATTGTTGAAACACAGTCCTGAAAAAGGGACATTTTCATTTTCTTTTTTTTTTTTTTTGCTGAGTTTATAATACAGATGAGCAAATGATAAAGCTTGGGTTGCTGAATATTCAATCCCTTTCTTTAAACAGATGTGTGAGATCGTGATGAACTGTCAGCTTTTTAGGAATTATTAAGGGAGCGCAAAGTCATGCCAAACCATGCACGCAGGAGCTGCTTGCTTAATGTTATAACAATGGTTTGTGTGTTAATGCCTTAATAACAAATAATTTATCAGCAGCAATTATGCTGTTGTGTATGGTGAAGCTGCTTTGATACAATATTGTGAAAAGCGCTATATAAATAAATGTGACTTGACTTGACTATGGTGGCGACACATAGGCTAACTTGAAAGTATTTGGAGGTACAGAAAAAAGGCTTTTGTGGGCAGGAGCGGGACGAAACATAAATGTTGCGGGCGAGAGAAAGTAACTGTAATATTAAAAGTTGAGAACGTCAGTCACAACGACCCACGTTTTAAAAAAATAGCTGGGTTAAAATCATGAATACTTAAATGATGATACTGTGGCCGCCGGTCAGTAGCGGAGTGGCAATCCGGAGATTCAGGACTTTTCCCGGTGGGCCGGTAGTGTTTCGAGGCCGCGAGGACCGGTCTGATAG